AGTTTTAATTACCAAAGTTGAAGGTTGAAATGGGAGTTATACACATGCATTATAACATCTCAGATGTTCAGTTCCCTGAGTTGAACCAATGCCATCCCCGTTCTTTAGAGAGAAACAGACCCTGTTTCCTGTTGTTTACATTCTCTATGAGAGTGGATCACCGTCTGCCTCTGGAGGATTCAAAGGGGGCAAAGGTGATGTGCCTTTTAGCTGTCATTTCATTTGTAGAACCAAATCACCGCTGTAACCAGAGAAGGGGGGAGGGGTGTGTGTGTGTGAGAGATAACGTGAGAGAGAGAGAGAGAGAGAGAGGGAGAGAAAGAGTTTTATAAAGGCTGCATCTGACTGTTCCATTCAAAAAATCAAACAAGAACTTGGTGTGTGTGTGTGTGTGTGTGTGTGTGTGTGTGTGTGTGTGTGTGTGTGTGTGTGTGTGTGTGTGTGTGTGTGTGTGTGTGTGTGTGTGTGTGTGTGTGTTCGTGTGTGTGTGTAGGTGTGTGTGTGTGTTCGTGTGTGTGTGTGTGTGTGTGTGTGTTCGTGTGTGTGTGTGTGTGTGTGTGTGTGTGTGTGTGTGTGTGTGTGTGTGTGTGTGTGTGTGTTCGTGTGTGTGTGTTCGTGTGTGTGTGTGTGTGTGTGTGTGTGTGTGTGTGTGTGTGTGTGTGTGTGTGTGTGTGTGTTACCCAGCATATGAAATACAAACAGAAAATGTTTAGCTTTTTACTTGGTGTGGACATCAAACGTTGAGCCCTCTGGAGGCAGGCGTTGCAGATTAGCTACGTTAAAACCGACCTACCTGGTTACTCCACACACGTGTTTCATGAGCATGTTTTAACTCAGAAGAATCCCTGAAGGACTCGTCCTTTTATCAGAACTCATTTTGAGCCTGAGAGGGTTAAACTGGCATCACTCTTGACAACATCAGAGTTTCAACCACATAACTATAGAGTCCAAAACAACTTAAAGGAGGAATAATTATCTTCTCTTCAAAGACGGTTTAACGTGTAGAAAGTAAAACTGTAGAAGTTTAACCTGAGAGAGATGTGGAGGAAAGCTGGCTGAATCGCTGAAACTATCACGAGCATCTCCTTATCCAGATGTTTCTCTGTTCTTTCGAGGCTAACTGGTACCAACAATGCTCTGTCACTCATGTGATCTGTGGTGCCATGGCGATGACAGCCTGCAGGTCTCTGGCGTCTTTTCTCCACTTCTCCAATAAGCCTGGTGAATAAAAGTGTCCGCTCACACTGAGGTGAGAGCTCATGGAAAAGTCTCCATTCAGCACAACGGACAGCTCCACTGTTTCCTCCTGCAGTTTGTCATCAGGGGTCTCATTTATCAAACATGGTGTAGAATCCTTACTAAAAGCGTACTTAAGCTCAGCAAAAACAATGTACTCACAACAAGCAGGTGTGTGATCTATCAAACACGGAGGACGCACAGCTGCACGCAATCTCCGCTTCGTAAATCGGAGACTAACGAGAATGTTTCTCAGCTGCCTTTTAGTCACATCCCGCCCTCACCACGCCCACTTACTGCCATAAAAGTCTTTCATGTCTGCAGATGAACACTGAGCATGTGTGCCTCTCTATCTGGAAAGAGCTGTTTGCTCTACGCTTGAAAAAGGAAGTGTTTGCATGCGCTTACGAGTGGTTTAACATTGTGAGTAAAGTCTGCCAGTTTCTCTTTGGCCTGTAAGTGTCGAGCAGACGGAATGACAGCTGTTGCTTTCTTGAAGAAAATGGACAGATGAATAGAAACTGAGAGCAGGAAGGAAATCAGACACAAGCGTTTATTCAAATCGTGTGTTTGTGTCAGAGCCGTAAGGGAACGGAGACTCACACAGACAACAACCACTACCAGGGGCCTAATGTGAGCACAAGAGCCACCCAGGAGATTATCATTACGCTCACCGTGCATTAGCTGCTACTGATGCATCCAACAGGGACGTGTGTGTTCTCCACACCTTCATCTCCTCACGCTTAGACTACTGTAACTCTCTTTTCACGTGTCTGAGCAGAACCTCCCTGAACCGTCTACAGGTGGTTCAGAACGCCTGTGCTCGGCTTCTGACCAAGTCCTCCAAACACACCCACATCACCCCGCTTCTCCTCCAGCTTCACTGGCTGCCAGTCAACTTCAGGGTTCATTTCAAGATCCTGGTTCTGGTCTACAGGGCCTTAAATGGACAAGCACCATCTTACATTGGTGATCTTCTTAGTCCCTACACCCCCAGCAGGTCCCTGAGGTCCAGTGACCAAAGTCTACTGGTTGTGCAGCACCAGGCTAAAGGTCAAAGGTGACAGATCATCTGCTGCTGTGGCCCCCAGACTCTGGACCTCTCTCCCCCTGAGCCTGAGATCAGTGGACTCAGTGGTCTCCTTTAAAAAGCAGCTGAAGACTCACCTGCTCAGGTTTTGGTGTGGCCTTCATCTCCCTCTCCTTGTTCTGCTCTAATTTCCACTTTTCCAGGGATTCTTTGATTTCCCTCATTTTTTGAAATCTTTTTCATATTTGAATAATTTTGTTGTGAGGCGCATCGTGATTTCCATCTTGAGAGGCGCTACAGTGAAGATTGTTTTCTTTCTTTCTGGGCCTGAATAGCAGGCAGCCCACCCCCAGCAGCTGTTGGCCCGTGATCAGGAGCTGTGATAAACGTAAAAAATGAACCTGATCTTCAACACTCCTTAACCTCGGTGTGGATGATTGGAATTTTCCTTTCTTCAGGACTGATGAGCTAACAGCTAGACTAAAGTGTTTTATTACGACCCTCATTTTGTCTTATTGGTCATCACGTTATTATTTGTGTAACTGAATATTTTGCTTCATCAGGTTCTGACTGAACTCTCGCCTCTCTTCTGCTTGTGGGTTTTCGGTGTTCGGGTTAGCTACGAAAAATGAGCTAAAAGGTGATTTGAACTGTGTTTAGTGTAAATGAAGGCCTACAGCAACTTCTTCACCTCCGTTACCCATAATGCATCCCTCCTTCCTCAGTTTTTATGGACCTCTGAAATACAGCTGCTAGGGAAATCCCAGATGTGTTCGCTCACATCTAAATAACAACACATGCCATGCCTTTCCACAATTTACAGTAAATCCCTTCTTTAATGATCAGTTCTGCAATTCTGGTTGCTTTCATGCACCACATTAATGACGGGGTCATATAGGGTAGGGTAGGAACTGTAAAGGCAGAAACACACTTAGACAACAACCCAGTTCAAAACCAAAGAATTCCTCCTTTTATCTCATTCTACACTTTTTGTATTCAGCGCTTTCTCTGTAAAAACATGTTTAGGGTAATGGTTGTAAACCCTTCTCCAAGGAAACAACCCGAGAGCACATTATGTCTCTTTGTTCCATCCATGAAAGATTCTCTGTGAAACTATGACTTTCTGTGTCTGCGGAGCTTTTCTTTTGCTTCACAAGATCAATGAGATTCGAGAGTCTCTGCTTGTTTCCCGGCAACTAGTCCATGCCAATAAAATAATCCTTACAGTTCCCAAAACATTAACATGCTGCTTTAAATCCGGTCAGGAATGACCTGGCCGCCCGCAGCGGCAGCACGTCCTCTCCTCCGACTCGGGAAGTAGGAGGTAATACAAAGTACTGTAGTACGGGGATGTTTGGGTGATTGGACAGATCAAAGTATCGTAACACTGCTTCCTCACTCACTCTTGTTCCATCCACTCCAGAGCCTCTCCACTCCATGTGCCCCACTCGTCACGTCTGAAGAGTCATGAGTCACCTCTGAGACAAAGATCTGCACCTCTCTACCTGACCCTCCTCTCACACCACCTGCAATTCCCTCCACCTTCTCCTTGTCATCATTTCCTGTGAGGTCAGCCTCCCCCGGCTGCTGGGGAGGGACAGGTCGGGTTCTATCTGTCGGTGTGTGTGTGTGTGTGTGTGTGTGTGTGTGTGTGTGTGTGTGTGTGTGTGTGTGGAGGATGCTGGTGAGCCTCTCTCTGTGTCATCACAGCTCACCAAGGAGCAGACAAGAGCCTGCTGGTGAGACTGAGCAGGAGTTAAGTGATTGGACCGAAGGAACAGATGGATTAGAGGAGAGCTGAAGGAGGTGGCAGAAGTAGTCTCCTGAATATCCAGCAGAGCTTTTGGAGCAGATTTAGCACGGTTAGCGAGTGGCGAGGCACTTGAAGCAACTTTAAAGTGGAGATTAGGCGTGGCAGCACAGTGATCTCACACACACAGTCATTGTCTGGAGGTAGCTGTTCATTCTGAGCTGATTTGTACTTTTTAAATGGAAACAATAGAGACAGAACTAAACTGCACATTTGTGCCACTGTTGGTGGTTTAAATAGCTTTAAAGTATGAATTGCATTTCTGGTGCAGCCAGCTCTTGCTGGTGAGGTGTGGTTGCAGGCCTGCAGGCTGAAGAGCAGGTGGGATTATATCTGTAGGTCGCCCTGGAAACACCTTGGACCTCCAACTGAAGACCTGAGTTTGGGCACGCGTCTCCGCTTCTCTCTTATTGTGTCAATTGAACTCGTTTTGGGTCTTCTTGTACAAAACGCTAGTCTGCTTTTGACACATGCTTTTATTCTATTGAGTCTGGTTTTACGGCCCCAGCACGACCAGCAGATGATGTTGGTTGGAGGGCGTAAAGAAGGGTGGTCGTGAATAGGAACAAACCAAGGTTCACTCTCTTAAAGGAGTTTATTGAACTAAAAGGGTCACTGCTTTATGCAGGAAAAGGATAAAAGGTCACAAACACATAAAGACATCCAAAACTGGGGTTTCCTAAAGTAATGATAATAGTAAACACAAAGCGCCGGGGTTTAAACCGGGTAAGGAAAAGCTCCACCAAAAGGGGGCGCTAGATCTCTTTAACCAGAATGCCAAATAAACACAAACGAGCTCTAGAGACTAGGAAGAGTGTATCTAAACCACACAGGTAATCAAAGCTAGACTTTAACGTCTGGTCGAGGAGGGAAAAAGGAGAGCAAACTCCACTGCGCCTGCCCCCCCCCCCCCCCCCCCCTATCACCTGGTGCTCCCTTCTAACGAGGAGCATCCCTGATTTGGATCAGCTACACCTGACTCAGCTAGAGCCAGGAGCGCAGGTAGTGACACTGAGGCCACCCAGTGGCCACAAACAGACGGCGTCTGTTACATTGATTAGTTGGTCGGTTGATTGATTGATTGATTAATTTGTAGGTTGGTTGGTTGGTTGATTGTTGATCAATTGGTTAGTTGTTGATTGACTGATTGATTGATTGGTCGATCGATCGGTCGGTCGGTCGGTTGGTTGATTATTGATCGATTGGTTAGTTGTTGAATGACTGATTGGTCGATCGGTCGGTCGATTGATTGATTGATGAATCAATTGATTGATTTGTAGGTTGTTTGGTTGGTTGTTGATCGATTGGTTAATTGTGTATTGACTGATTGATTGATTGATTGATTGATCGATCGGTTGGTCGATTGGTCGGTTGGTTGATTAGACGGTCAGGGCTTCCCTTGCCCCTGTGGCCCAGACCTGGATGAGCAAACAGCGGTAAGCATGATTGTCACTACTGACTTTGTCTCTGGAGTCTGATAAAATCCTCCAGTGATGACTCTCTGCTGCCTCCATGTGTCTGGGAGGTCGGATCTGTTGGACAACAAAAAGCGTGCCACAGCGGTGAGAGAATTTGGTTCGAACTAAAGCCGTGATTCTAACTGTGGAAGATGTTACCATGGTAACCATTAAAGCTGGTAGGGTTGTATCTCTCCTGCACGTGTTCTGCTGGTGAATTAGCGCTAGTCGCCTCCAGTGATTACCGTTTAGCAACACATCTTTGATCAGAATGTATGAAACTGGACAGAAAAGGTCCTTCAGGTGTGTGTGCTTATGTACTTTCCATAATGAAGAAATACACTTCAGCAACTGTTTATTTCTACTTGAAACTGACTTTTGAACCTTGTCTCACTTCACCATTCCCTCATCTGCCAATTACCTCCTTCCTCTCTGCATCTCTAACGGATACTTGAGATTCAAATGTGAACCTGTAAAACAACATCTGCGTCCTTGCCTTTAATGAAATGCTCAGTCTCTGTCCATAGGGCAGATCAATGAGCCTTGGCAGCATGAATATTTGGCCCCTAGTACGGTCAGATGTGACCAAACAAACCAAAAGAAGAGGAAGCAAGAACATGTGAGAGAAAAATGAGACACCTACTCACTGTGAGGCGTGTGTAACGGGTATTACAATTAAATAATATGAAATAGGTGTTGAACTATTGTCTTGACAACTCTGGACCAGTATCAAAAGTTCTAGGTAAGATTATGGAGCCTTGAAAGGATCAGCAGAGAAGGAACCGCACAATGACAGATAAGATATGATTTAAATAGAAACTGTATTGAAAAGGTGTAAAGTTTACAAACCCTGCCTGTCTAAGCCGGCTTCCTACAGTGCACGAACGCACATTAAAGGACTCAAAATAAAACCAAAACCCTCTTTGAGGAAATTCTCCAAAGAGTTTCAATTAAAGAGCTTCCACTCCTGTTGCTCAGTCCACTTCTCTTTGGAAAGAGAAATTAGTTTGTGTGTGTGCGTTTCTGTCCAGTGGATCTAACACTACCCGGGTAGATTTTTTAAAAGTGTCAGTCTTATCTGTGTCAAGGGATGTAGTGATAGTCCTGGGGTTTGCTGAAGATGGATCCCACGGCTGGCCACACCGTACTCTGGTCCGTCTACAGTCACTCTCTTGGAACTGGCTCGCCACTGAACCCACAAGGTTCAGATCTCAAATGATCCAGTCCTGGTCAAAAAACCAATCTATGCACACAGGGCAGAGTGCATACATTACTATTTTATCTATGCTCCTTCCATCACTCATCTTTAGTTACACAATGTCTCAAGCATCATGAAATAACTTGAGTTGTATCACACAAGGTTTTAGCGCAACAGAAAATATACCTTATATTTACCCTTTTAAGAATAAATAAATTTGTAAGATTCACTCTCCCACATTTATCTTTTTTTTCAGCTTGCATTTAACTGTTCTTCCTTTTCAGATATTTCAACTGAATTATTTCTCAGAAAAATATATCAACTTCTTTAAACACTAATACATCCAACAGAGTAATGAGATCCTTCACATTTTATAATCCCATTTTATGAACTTTTTGCATCTTTATCAAATGAATTAACTTTTAAATCAACAACTAAAAGGGTGCCTTTAAGCACTACATGACAATATTACTGTTCCTTTAACGTTTTGGAAAGCTAACAAACTCAAATGAATCACAGTAATAGTAGAACACACAGAAATTGCTAAGCAGTAGCTTAAAACTAGCGGTTAGCTGGGCACATTTTAATATATTCTTTAACACTTAAAATTAAACGTCTGCACATCAGTGATGTTACAGTACTTTAAACATAAATATCACAACTCCGACTGGTTGTTTTTAAACAGGAAATATATTAACAGCAGTCAACTACATGTCTTTATGGTGCTAACATTCATGTAGCATCCCTCACCGGAGCTCGTGGTGAGATAGCTCGCCCAGCTGACGCAGCTTCCCACGGCTGTAATTCACAGAATTCAGATCCTAACAAATAGCCATCTGTTAATTGCTAGTTGGTGAAGATAAATTGCGAATTTAACTTTTATTTTAACTTTTCTTACCAGGATCTTTCAGTTAATCTGGCGGTTGCCTCGTGAGTAACGGCTTTCAAAACAGGAAATGCTGACTAACAGGAAGTCATCTCAAGGCATACTCGCCTCCTAGTGGCGGAGAGCGAAATTACACCTCCAACCTTATGCCGCAGCACAAACCACAATTCTGATGTGGGCATAGGCGTCAGTTTAACCGGGGACGCCGGGGACATGTCCCCGGCAAAATTTGTGATTGGCAGCTGTGTCCCCCCCACTTTCAAAAAAGCCTGCTGATGAGGATTTTTGTTTTACCATCTCAGATCTTATACCAGGGGTCGGCAACCTGTTCCCATCAAAGAGCCATTATTACCCATTTCCCACAGTAAAGAAAACACCGCAGTAGCCGCAGCGTTGTGGGCGGGGCCTACCCTCAGACAGCAGAGGGCTGCTCACAACCAGGTGACAGCAGCAGGTACAGGTCGCTCGCATGGACATCGCACCCGTGGGGGATTCAACGCCCACACTTTTCCAGCTGTTTTGCTCACCTCCACACCTGTCTGGTTTCTTTATGTCGCACTCACTCTGTTTGCCTCATCTCCTTCTTCACCTCCGCTTCTGACAGCCGATGTCGGGTTTCCAGGAGAGCAGGAGAGGGAGGGACGGAAGAGCTCGACTGAATTCATAATTTTACATCTTGACATTAGCTGTACAAAGTCTGAGTTTGATAAAGTGAAGAACAACAATTTGCAGAGGTTTATAACTGGCGCGGCGCCAGGTTTTCATTTTTGGGTGGGCCACGGTTTTTGGACAGACCTTAATAAGCAGTGACTTAGTGAAGCAGGCAGGTCGCGCTAGAAAATTTAGTTTAAAAAGACGTCATAAACGTGTTCCCCCGTCATTTTAATTTCTAAAATATTAAGTAAAATCTCACAATTTAATTTTCATTCATTTGTCATTAATATGTAGTCTACACCCGTGCGTTAAGTGGACCATCTTCCAGTAAAAGCAAAGCATCCAGTCCATCTCTCCAAATGCGTAAAATGTGCATCACAGCCACTAGGCGCCCCGCGCGCACCGTCAGCTACATCAGTCCAGACAAGAGCAGAGCAAATAGAATAGAGGATCATTCCGTCTGGATGTGGATTGAGATTAGATTTTACAGCAGCCTGATCATCATTTAAATAAAACCATCACCTGTCTTCTAGTCCATGCTATCAGCATTATTTTAATTGGTGTGTGTGTGTGTGTGTGTGTGTGTGTTTTCCACTTCAAACACTGGTCTAACCAACCAGACCAGCGTGTCCAGTAACATATTAATGTTACACTTCATGTAGGCTAGGAACATTTCACCTGCCGTGGCCCGACCGCTTCTGCTCCACAAACTTTGTGCGTGATCAAATGTCTCTACAGGTGCTTTCTGCGCTGCTATTCTGCCTCAGACTGGATGCGTCATGCGTGTCCATATTAGAGACGGGAACAAGCGCTGTTCAGCCAAAGTTTCATAATTTCATAAAAAGAACATTTTTCCAAGCTCATCCATGCGCATCAGTGTGCGTCGGGGTAATTCTTTCAAAACAGCCAGCATCCTTGAGTTTATCCGTCAAAATAAAAGTCTAATATAAATATCTGTAACCTGCCATTTAACTGTTTTGCCTTCTTGTGCATGAAGATTGTTGCAAAGAGAAACAACTAAACCTGATTAACCCCAGAGCCGTGCGCACTGCACTGTACATCATGACTGTAAATTAGGGGAAATGATTTAATCGGATCCTTTTCTTTTCAACATGGTTTAATGTAAAGTTTCATTCAGTACAAACTTTAGTTACACCGATCTAACGAGACAGAGCCTGGATTTGTATTCTGAACAGTTTAAACATGTTTAAAACGGAGACATGCGTGACACGTCTAAAATTCGCACCTGCTCCGCTGTTATGGAAATTAAACTAACAAGATGAATAACATCAAATTATTTTAGGCACAGACAACATCTCCCACACTTTTGAAAATCTTGCAACGCGCCTGGTCGCTCGTGTACGTCAAAGTTATCTTTCATAATCAATAAAACGATTTATATAAAGATGATCCAGAAGTTGTAGCCCGTCTCTGCTACAATATTTTGATATTTTTCACCCTGTTGGTGGTTTTACTGAGCAGGTGCCACTTTTGTCTTACGTTTCTTTTAAAAACATGTTTAGACTGTTCAGAATACAAATCCAGGCTCTCAGAACCAGAGCGCATGTGAGAAGGTTCCTCCCACTGAAGCGAGTGTTTTCCAAACCCGGTCTCTCAGAGAGACTTGTCACTTAGAAAATGTTCCCTGATTATGAAACTTTGGCTGAATAGTGCTTGTTCCTGTCTCCAATGTGGCGACACATCCAGGAGCCGTCTGAGGAGAAGCCCAGAATCTGACATCCTCCAGCTCAGGAAGCGCCTATGATTACGCACAAGCGTGACGCGTCAACCCGGTCTCACAGTAAGACCGGGTCGGAACTGTTCAGGTTTACGCAGACAATCTTTACATTTAGAATTAGCATACAGATGTAAAATTAATGCAGTAAAATATAAAGCTTTTTATTTAAATATCCATTCATTATTTTACAAGCACAGAGCATCAGATGGATGGAAGAGCCGCATGCGGCTACAGAGCCGCCGACCCCTGTGCTAGCCTATATTGTCCCCAGCAATTTTTAAACCCCACTCAAGTGTATGGTTAGTGTCCCCAGCAATTCTGAAAACAAACTGACGCCCTTGGATGTGGGTTACACGTGCCCACTTCTGTCAGCTGCCACTCTCACCCTCTGGGACTCCCTTGCCTCCAACCCTCCACTTCTGACAGCTAAAATGCTAAAGGCAGAAACTAGAGACTCCTTCAGGATTGTGTTAGATAACACCACTTAAAGGTCCATCAGTCACCGTCGCTAACAGAATCCTTCACTGTGATTTTAATGCAGGTTCAATGTTATCCAATCAGCTAGATTAAAGCTGATGGCTCACTGACAGATTTTACTACCTCACCATGTGCTTGCACCACTTATGTGTGGCAGGTTGATGGAGCAGGACAAAGACAAACTGCTGGAGTCAAAATCAACAATCAGGATAAAGGAGATGATATGAAAAGGTTTCAATCGACGCGACTAGTAGAAAAAATATCTTGCATCGCTTTTCAACACAGAATCTGAAATTAAGATCTTCTCATGTTGAGGTGAGTGGACTTCTGGCTGCTTTAGTTAAGGTTCCTACCACATCACCATCAACTAGCACTCAAAGTAGGACTGGACAAAACCTCCAGATTTTACAAATGTTTATATAGAAAGTTTATATCGATAAGAATGTGCAGCCAGTGAATTTCCAGAGCTAGCAGGTGTGCTAGCCTGCTGCTCCTCCATCTGTGAGCAGTCTTTACAGAGTTTTCATGCATCCACCCCATCATGTACCGACAAAACTTCCACAAATGGTGTTGTCTGGGTTAATAAAAACCTCTAGGGTAATGTTCTACCTGACAGGTTTTGTTTTCCTGTTTGTGTGGAGAAAGGGGTCGAACCGCCCCGTGTAACCGGTACGGGGGCCTGCAGCAGCCAAAATACTTCTGAGACTAACATGAATCTTTCTTTACTCATTGGTATGAATGAATACTCCAGCCATGTTTGTCTTCATAACTGTAATAACCCCACGCTGCGTGAGCGTAATCCTCTGGTAGTGGATTTATTCACGTTATGAAATTAGCATAAAATGAAAAAATGTACTATGTTATTGCGAATGGTGTGGCCCAGCCCTAGAAGCTGCATATGGAAGTTATATTATTTGAATAATTATAAAATTATATGAAAGTGCCTGTGTAACATCTGAGACGCGTAGCTTTGACTCTTTACTGATTTTCTGTCAATTCTGATGGGGAGGGAACACAGAGGTACCAGTTTTGGTCCGTATCACCGGCCTGAACTCAAAGTGTGTAACGAGCAAAAGTTTAGGTCAGTGTGAGAATCACAGCAATGTTTGTGTTTAAAAAACTCCATCAGCTGTGGCGGCCATCTTGAATAGGGTTGGCTCTAGCAGATATTCATTCATTAGTTATATCGTGAAAACATAATACCCTGTAATTGATATAATGCAGGGGTGGGCAATCCTGGTCCTCGAGGGTCGCTATCTGGCAGGTTTTAGTTGTTTACCTGCCCCAACACACCTGATTCCTGGATGAATCACCTATTCGGCAGCTCATCAGGCTCTGCAGCAGCCTGTTAATCACTAGTAGATTCAAACCAGGTGTGTTTAAGCAGAGAAACAAGTAAAACTGGTAAAATCTGGTGGACTACAATATTTTAAAATGTATGTATAATGCAAACAAAAGGAACATACCTGCAGGATTAATCAAAAGATTTACAAAAAGACATAGCAAATATGATTTAAAAGGACATGAATTATTTAATATACCTAGACATCGGATACTCATAAAGGAACATTGTGTGTCCATATATGGAGTTAAAATGTGGAATAAATTAAATACTGAAATCAAGAATGCAAAAACAATATTGACTTTCAAAAAAGAGATAAAAAATCAAATGATTAACTTATATAGATCTGTTACATAAATGTGTGAGGGGAGGGGGGTTGGGGGAATGAAAAAAATATATAAAAAGGAAAAAAATAAAAAGGAAAAAAGTCTATGTATTCATTTGTATATATATGTATGTATAGAGGTCTATATCTTTATGCTTCTCTCTGTGTAACTCGTTTTCTCTTTTTTTTTTTTTATTCATGGGTTGAGATTGTGTTGGTCAACCAGTCCAGAAAATATATTGTTCTAATTTTTTTTTCTTTTCTTTTTTTTTTTTTTTTTTAAGAATCATGATTGTTTCATTTGTATTGATGTTATTTTAGTTTAAAGGGGCAGATAACAAAAGTTTTTCTTCTTTCTGTCCCCTTTTTCATTTTGGCTTGTAGCAATTTTTTTCTGTATTTTTATTTTAATGTCAATAAATGAAAAATGAAATATAAAAAAAATAAATAAATAAAATAAAAATAAAAACCTGCTGGACAGCGGCCCTCGAGGACTGGGATTGCCCACCCCTGATATAGTGCCTTCTTAGGGTTCTACAACCCCCCAAGGTGCTTTACAACACAATCATTCATTCACACACTGGTGGCGATAAGTTACATTGTACACACTAAAAACAGTAACTGAGTTATTCATGCT